CACACACACACACACACAAAGGAAAAAAGATGGTGCGCCTTAATCAGAATTGAATGGTGTAATTATTTTTGCCAAAATGTCCACACATCCGTTTTCCACTGGAGTAATGTTTCTTTGATTTCTGTTGGAAGGATAAAGAACACACCCAAGTATGTGGATATTTGTTCTCTCTTTTACACTAACGTCCTTTAATTGACAATAGATTTTGCTAGGCGTGTTTAATTTTGCTCATTTTTGAACATATATGTTGCATCGTTACTGCAGTTGAAGATTACGTAAGATCGTGGGAGCAAAATGAGGAGCTGGGTCTTAATGACATGGACACCACCTCAGCTGATGCTGCTTACAGTTCAGCAGATGCTGCACCCAGTGAGAAAGCTGACGATTGATGAATTTATGCTTAGTGATTTTCTTTCATACTGCTTTGGCCTTAAAATCTAAGGTTTGAGCTTCCTTTCGCCCCCATGAAGTTCTTTTTCAAGTGGTGAAATCGCCTTGATTACATTTTCTGTGTTGGTCTTTCTTTTAGCTTTGTAGATGTAAAATTTCCCAAGTCATTATTTCCTTTTACCTTTGGACATGTACAACCTCATTCCAGCAGTGTTGATTATGAATGATGAATTATCATATACCTATTTCTTGTACTTGATGCAAAATTATATGTAGTTTATTGGCCTATTTAATTTTGCAACAGGTAAGCGTTGATTGTTCTTTCATATGACTGTAGAAGAGATCTAGAACCATAAAAGATTGCCAACGCCTGCAGCCATGTCTACATAGTGGCCTTGTGACTAGAACTCCTTTAAATAGAGAGACAAACATTTTAATTAGCTATACGGGTTCCTTTAATCAAACACTTCAGAGTTATTAACAATGCAATTTGTTTTAGAAGATAGTTTGCAATGCAATGATTTTTGACTTGTAAAAAATATTAATTTTAATTAATGTTAAAAAAATGACTTTTGATACTGGAACTAGCAGTCTGATTTACTTTCAGGTGTACCAAGAACAAAATTTAAGGTAGTTCCTATCTACCTAAGACTTGGTGGGCATGAGTTACCCGGTGTTTGTGCTAATGGGAGTTGACATGTATCCAGTGGAATAGTTGAGGAGCCGACACTGAGCTACTTTGTACCTTTTTCATTCAAACGGGAATGACTCCACTCTTAGTCCCAGTGTGGCTTAGATTAGTAAGGCATGATTTTCGTCTTGATGAAGTGTATAACGGGATTGTCTTTCCATTGAGTTGGGGAGACAATCCAAATCGTAGTCAGTGTCCATTATTTAATTGAGCACGACGTGGTCTGCTAGTCGTGTTAAATCATCCATAGGAGTACCGTCATGAGCTGGTTGGGACACTGTAGTTTTAAAGAAAGGAACAAATTAAGCAAGGGTGTTAAAAGCATTCCCGAGGGGAAATTGGATACGCAATAATCCAAATGCTAAAGAAATTCATAGACGTCTCTGATTTAGGATTTTTAAGTTAAGCATTATTATATTCACTATTTACAAACTTAATTCAAGTATAATTTTCTTATTTCACTATAAATAGAGTATAAGTCAATTGTAATGTGAGGAACAGACACAGCACATTCGCCGTTAACACCAGTACCACCATATTCTCCACAATCATTTGATCCTTCAAGATAAGAGTAAATGTTCACTATAGAGTCACCTACCTCTTCCAACTGTTATATAAGGGAGTGAAAAGGATAGAAAAGTATTATGGTGTGTCTCAGTCTCACACAGCTGATGTTAGTTGTGTGAGGCTTCTTTTCATCGCACAAATTTGTGGACCCATATCTTACACTTTTGGGTTCACAAAATTTTGAGTCCACAAAATTACGAGAGTAAAAAAGAGGCCTTACACCACTAATTTCAGCTGTATGAGCCACAAAACAAAAAATTTCAAAAAGATATATTACCCTGTGGAAAAAGAGATAGAAGATAAGGGTACCTGTTGCTTTGATATTCGCTATGGCACGTAGCACACTCATTTGTGAACGAAATTTGTACATATGAATCACGTTTCTGCCATATCGTTCGTAAATGAAGCAACAAATTATAATGATAATTGTTTAAAATTATAATGACAAAATCTTTTTTAGGTGTAATCGGATCGAGGTCTGGCCTAGGAAATTATGAAAACGTCAAGTTCTAGTATATAATCTAAAAAAGACTGTCGTAACAAATGACAGATGAGCTACACTGGAATGATGAAAAATACTTATCCTTCGAATCTTGTGCGTGCAACAAAGCAGGGAGAACATCATAGTTGTTTTTTCTTTTCCGCATATTTTTTTTTTGGTTTCCAATCCGTTGTCCAGTACTTGCATTGGAAAATTCGGATTTGCACCGAAAAATCCTACATTAGAGATTAAGTGCTCCTAACAAATGCGACTCCTAATAAAATTCTGTTGTAAATCATGCATTATGCACATGTATACTTTGCATAAGATTTCACATATATTAGTGTGCATGAAGTGGGAACAAGTATATGAAATTTGTAATAGACTAAGATTTACTTCAAAGAATAACGAAAATGAAGAAGACAACAATAAGGAACACAAGCTTTTATTATTCAACTGTCAATGGAATTGAATTACAATAGTTCCACCATAGCTATTGTACAATTGATGCATGTAAGAGAGAAGAAGAAGAAGTTGGTCAGGGAATTGAGAGAGAAAGAGAAGAGAGAAGAGTAGGCAGTTAGGAAGTTGTAACAGAATAATACCAGTAATTTTGCTTGAGTCCTCAGCTCCCTTGCGTGTATTTATTGTTAAGTACCATTGGGCTTCTAATTCTAACTGGGCCTTAACTAAAGAATTAACCGGAGTCCACTACTAAAGAACTAACCGGAGCCCACTTGTTTATATGGCCCAAGCCTTACACTAAGGTAATATAGAGAAGAGATCACTTTCCTAATTAGTGAGCTAGGATTCTCCGACATAACACTCCCATCCCCTTCAAGAAAGACCTTGTCCTCAAGGTCGTAGTTGAGCCACAAAATCTGAAAATCGATGCTTGACATAGCCCCAATCTTCCCAAGAAGCTTTCTTTTCACTTAGATTAGCCCACTGAACCAATACTTTTACATCAACACCATTGTTGACTCGTACCATCTTTCTCTGAAGAATGGTTGTTGGTTGAATCAAGACCTTACCCTCCATATTGCAGAGAGGAGGTTGCTGTGCTGGGACGATGGTAGGACCTATTCGACATTTCAGCTTCGAGACATGAAACACATGGTGTATTTGCGACCCTGGTGGAAGTTGTAATCGGTAAGCTACAGATCTAATTTTTTGTTCAACCTTATATGGACCATAGTATCTGGCACACAACTTAACATTTCTGCACACATATATAGAGGATTGGCGATAGGGCTGTAGCTTTAGGTAAACTTGGTCTCCCACTTCTAGTGTTCTTTCTGACCTCAATATATCTGCATAGAACTTCATGCGAGCCTAGTCAAATTGTCCTTTAGTGCTTGTAACATATGCTGTCATTGAGCTACACTCACTCCTGCTAGTGATTGGCCAGTATTAGGTAAGGATCCTGTAGGTAGTTGGGGTGGTGAATAACTATTCAGTGCCTGAAATGGGGTGGTCTTCAGTGCACTATGGTAGTTGGTGTTATACCACCATTCCACCAAATGAAGCCGCTTGGTCCATAGCTTAGGATTGTCAAATACCATTGCTCGTAAATAAGTTTCCATGCACCTATTTAACCTTTCAGTCTGCCCATCTGATTGTGTATGATCGGCTGTGCTCATGTTCAATTTGGTACCCATAGTCTTGAAAAGGTGTTGCCAAAAATGGCTAGTGAATAAAAGGGTCTCTATCAGATACTATAGTCCTAGGTAGCCCATGTAGTCTATAGACTTCCCTGAGGAATAGTCTGCTACCTCCTGAGCTGAAAATGGATGTTTGATAGCCAGGAAGTGACCATACTTAGTGAACCTATCAACCACCACTAATACTGCATTCTTACTCCTAGAGTTGGGTTGTCCCTTCACAAAATTCATGGATATGTCCTGCCATGCCTGGTCTGGTACTGGAAGTGGCTGAAGCTGGTGGTGGACATTTTCAGCCTTAACTCTTTGACAGACATCACATTCCTCTACCCATTTACACATTTCTTTTTTCATATTTAGCCAATGAAACAGATGTGATCTATGTAGGTACCTTGCTGACCTGAGTGTCCACCAATGGTAGAATGATGCATAGTTTGTAGGATTTTTTCCCTTAGATCAGTGCCTTTTCCCACATAGATTTTTTGTTTGTACCTGACGACCCCTTGGTGCAAAGTATAGTCAACCTTGCTATTAGGAGCTATGGTCAACTCTCTCAGTAGTTTTAAGGCTAGTAGATTACCTTCATAGCTGTCAATGATATCTTGTAGCCAAGTAGCCTGTGTGCTGGATTTGGCTAACAGTGTAGAATCCTCCTCCTGTCTTCTTGAAAGGGCATTTGCCACCTTATTCTCACTACCCTTCTTGTATTAAACCTCATAGTCAAGGCCCATCAGTTTGGTTAACCCTTTCTGTTGCAAGGCTGTAGTTACCTTATACTCTAGTAGGTATTTCAAACTTTGATGATCAGTCTTAACAATAAAGTGCCATCTTTGCAAGTAATGTCTCCATCTATCTATAGCTGATAGAACTGTCATATACTCTTTTTCGTAAGTAGATAACCCCATATGCTTGAGTGCTAAGGCTTTGCTGAAAAAGGCTATAGGCCTGCCCCTTGCATCAACAGAACCCATCCCAGTAGCACATGCATCAGTTTCTATCACAAAAGCCTTGGTGAAATCAGCTAACCCAAGCACTAGTATTGTTGACATAGCTGTCTTTAACTGTTGAAAGGCTGACTCTGCCTCCTCATTCCATTGAAAGGCATTCTTCTTAAGCAGATTAGTTAATGGTCTGCTTATGATTTCATAGAATTTAACAAACCTCCTATAGTAGCCAGTCAACCCCAGGAATCTCCTTAAAGCTTTCACAAATCTAGGTACATGCCAGTTTATCATTGCCTCAATTTTAGCAGGGTCAGTGGACACCCCTTTACCTGAGATAATGTCCCAAGTACTCCACCTTATCCTGTCCAAAAGCACACTTAGACAGTTTTGCATAAAGTTGTTCCTTATGTAAGACCTCCAACACCCTCTTGAGGTGTAACATATGAGTCTCTATAGAAGAACTATAGACTAGTATATCATCAAAAAATACCAACACAAACTTCCTTAAAAAGGGTTTGAACACCTGATTCATGAGGCTTTGAAAAGTAGCAGGAGCATTGGTCAAGCCAAAGGGCATGACTCTAAATTCATAATGCCCTAGATGTGTTCTAAATGCAGTTTTATAGATGGCCCCTTAATTTTTATTTGATGATAACCAGCTCTTAAGTCAATTTTTGAATAAATGTAAGAGCCATTAAGCTCATCCATAAGGTCATCTACCAAGGTAATTGGAAACTTATCCTTAACTGTCATCTTGTTTAGCTCTCTGTAATTAATGCAAAATCTCCAGCTTCCATCTTTTTTCTTTACCAATAGTACATGGGAAGAGAATGGAGAGTGGCTAGGTTGTATAGTACTATCGTTAAGCATTTTACTAACTTGGTTTTCTATCTCATTCTTTTGAAAGTAATTATACCTGTATGGTCTAATACTGATTGGTGCTGCTTCAGGTTTAAGTGGAATGTGATGATCATGAGTTCTTCCTGGTGGTAGGCACTTTGGTTCAGCAAACACTCCTGGGAATTCAGCTATAACTTCTTGAATCTTGTCAGGTATGCTCCTTTGCAATTTTGTAGTTTGCACATTAATTGTGAATAAATGTGCCCATAATAACTGTCCCTTCTTCAGTAGTTGTTTCACCCAGTAGCTGTTACACTCTGTAGTTTGCCCTCCTCAGAATACCTTTTTAAACTACCCTTTTTCCTTTCACACTCACTTGTAGCCTATATCCAATAAAGTCAAATAGAATTGGATTGTGTTTTCTCATTTAATCCACCCCCAAAACTACATTACATCACATCCCCCAATATCCAATGGCCTCAGTTTGTGTTCAAATTCAATGCCCTGGGTTTTCCACTTGAACTGAGGACAAGAGTGATAACTCATTAAGTGTCCTCCATTTGCAACAGCTACCCTCATTGGTACATCCTCTTGAATTGCACACCCAAATTGCTTGGCAGTGCTGCTAGGTATTAAGCTGCGAGTATTGCCACTATCCGCTAGAATTATCAGCACCTGTTTACCAAATACTCCCTTCAGCTTGATAGTTGTAGAAGTAACAGTTCTTGATAATGCATTGAGGCTGATTGCCTCATCTATGATAGCTTCTGGATTCTCATCGGAACCTATCTCATTCTCCAATTGATCTACTATCTCCAGTTGTTCAGTGGTTCCTGACAATATATTGAGTTGTTTGCTCTTGCAAACATGCCCAGGGAAGCATCTTTCCCCACACTTGTAGCATTCTCCCCTAACTTTCCTAGCTTCAAATTGTTTAGTCCCTGAGATTGATGTCTGAGGACCATTCTCCTTCTGTATATAACTAGGAGGTCTACTCAATGTAGTATTAGCGTGAGTACTCGACTGAGTGGACTGTCTTCCTCCATACCCCTTGTTCTTCCTACTCATTGACTCCATTAGCTCCTCCTTGTGCCTAGATTTTTCTACTGCATGACTTAATGAGTAAGGATCAAGCATCTTAACAGTCTGCCTAATCTCTTCCTTAAGCCCCTCTATAAAAAATCCCAAAAAGAACTCTTCAGGTATGGTTGGATGTTTAATTAACACCCATGCCTTCAAATCTTCAAACCTCTCCAAATACTCATTAACTTATCCATTTTGTTCCACTCACTTAAACCTTCATAACAAGTTAAGGTTACTATTATCAGCATGATTGAATCTTTTACAGATTTCTTCCCCGAAATCAACCTATCTAAAAGTACCTCTACTCAGTTGATAAGAGAAATACCAAGCCTATGCTCTACTATTTAAATGTAGTACATCAGTCTCAAATTTATGTTGTGGGTCAATTATGTGATTGTAATGAAAATACCTCTCGCATTTTCACAGCCAAGATTTTGGATCTCCCTCTTCGAAGTAAGGACATTGACCTTGGGATTTGAGTTGCTCGAGTGAAATCTCCCAGCAGGATTCTTGTGGTTCTCCATGATTCTTCCCCTACTACCAGATCCTTCTATTGTATGAACAGCTGTTAGAGCACTTCCCAAGATTCCATCCTTGCTTGCGAAGAATTTATCCATCATAAGATCGAATTTGTGATTCAATTCATTCATTTTAGAGTCATTCGACTCCAGCTTCTTACTAGTTTCTGCCGTGTAATTATGCAGTCGACTTTATAATTTTTTGACGCTTTCTTCTGTAACTTTTGCTCTGGTTTCCGGTACTGTCATGATGCCAGGAATTGCTTTGATACCAACTTTTAATAGACTAGGATTTACTTCAAAGAATAATGAAAATGAAGAAGACAACAATATGGAACACAAGCTTTTATTATTCAATTATCAATGGAATTGAATTACAATAGTTCCACCATAGCTACTGTACAATTAATATCTGTAAGAGAGAAAAAGAAGAAGAAGAAGTTGGTTAGGGAGTTGAGAGAGAAAAGTAAGCAGTTAGGAAGTTGTAACAGAATAATACCAGTAATTGCTTGAGTCCTCGACTCTGTTGCGTGTATTTATTATTAAGTACCATTGGGCTTCTAATTCCAATTGGGCCTTAACTAAAGAACTAACTGGAGCCCATTACTAAAGAATTAACCGGACACCACTTGTTTATCTGGCCCAAGACTTACACTAAGGTGATATAGAGAAGAGGTCACTTTCATAATTAGTGACCTAGGATTCTCTGACATAACAAAATTATTGCTTTGAATCTCAAAATGTTGAATTAACTGTTTCAAATAAGTAATTATTGAGTGTCTGTAGTATTTATGCATTTGTTTTAATAACAATTATAATAAAATTGTACTCTAGTATATTCCAATTTCCCATCATTCCTTTTAAGGCAACTCCCAGTAGTTTGTCTTTAGTTTCACAAACCCACTAAAATTCTCTTTTTGCTCAAATCTGTAATCATTTAATTTATTAAAATTATATAAGATCAGTCGGTCAAGGTTACATGTTATGTTAAAAAGCATTCAAATTGAAATAACTTTAGTACAATTAAGTTGTTAGTAAACTGTATTTGTTAAATAATTCTGGAGAAAAAAGTAATGTATAAACAGAAATGTAGAAGAAACAGAATTTAATCCGAGTCCACTGAATTCATAGTGTTTCCTTAAGGAACTTAATCCCCTCCTAGTACCCGAGGTTCTGGATTATTTCCTCCCAGGATAGAACGAATTACACACTGGTGTAGCGGTACTTCAAACCCTAGTGTTTCAGCGAACACAATGATCGTAGCAAATCACACTTACTGTTGCTTTCTTTGTAGTTAAAATAATACGGAAGAAAGGAGGGGAATTCATAATTTTGTATGAAAAATCTAAGAGAATGGACTGCTATTTCTAGCCCACATGTTGATTCAAACGAAGAGGTGCAACTCTTCAGAGGTCGGTTATAATTGTTCACGTAAAATGGCCATAACGTAAATGGCCATTTACACAAATTAAAACGGGAATTCAAAACGCAGAGGAAAATTATTTTTTCGTTACAAAAAACGGATAATTTGGATTTAATATTAATTTATATTTACTATTAATAAATAAATTTGGTCAAAAAAATTAATTAATTAACCGATCATGTGACCAAACCCAAATCCAAATCCGAATCTGAATCTGAAGCCGAAGTCGAGCCGAGCCGAGCTGAGCGAGCGACGACGACGGCGACGCGAGGTTTGCCTTCTTCTTAACTCTTTAAGATCTAGAAGAAGAGCAATTGTATACATACCCATCAAAAGTCTTTTCCTCCTCCAATATGGGACAATGTCCCTTTGTCAATGAGGGAAACTTAAATATTTCATTTTTCTTCAATTTCCCATTCACCCTCTTTTAAGCTAAAATAAGCTTTAACAACCTAACAATCACCCACATGAATAGGGAATGGCTATATCACGGAAATATGCATGAAAACTGTGTGATTCGTAAGCAAGGATTAATCGCATCTGGATAAGTAGGTTTCCCTTTGAACTTTTCGTAGTGAACTTATGTCGAATGTACTCGATCAATTGGTAGATTTGATATCTTTGAACCGTCGAACTTTGGTGTATACCTAGACAACCATAAGTCACACAATCAACCCTTAACCGTCTTTGGTTCTCATTGTTGTGTTCATTTCAGCCATGAATACCGCCTGGTTTCATAAGTGCGTAGAGAACTAGCCTTACAAAATTCTCCTTGAAGCGGCTAACACTTCACACTTATATAGGTGATTCCTAAATGTGTCATCCCGTAGATAAACTATTTTATATACCCTGTATCAAATTTAAAAATCATTAAATAGCTTTAATCCTTTATCCTTGGTACTAAACATTGTCTCATCACGAGAATGGACCAAAATTTTAGTTGACAATGTTAAACCGTCATTAATAACTTGTTTGATCTCTTTGCATTTAGATGTTGGGATCTCCAGTCTTCTAGGTAGAGTTACTGCCACAATGACTTGTCCTCGGCCATAGTCCCATTCTCCTCGATGATTTCTCAACTACCTCTCCAGTTAGGCATTTTGTAAGTGGATTCGACACATTATCGCTTGACTTTACGTAGTCAATAGTGATAATTCCTCTAGAGAATAATTGCCTAATGGTTTTATGTATTCTTCGTATATGACGAGATTTACCGTTATACATAACGCTCCCAACCCTTCCAATTGCCGTTTTACTATCACAATGTATGCATATTGGTACCAATGGTTTGGGCCAAAATAGAATGTCTTCCAAGAAATTTCGGAGCCATTCAGCTTCTTCACCGGCTTTATCTAAGGCTATGAACTCAGCCTCAATTATAGAGCGGACAATACAAGTTTGTTTGGACGACTTCCAAGATATTGCTCCTCTACCAATAGTGAATACTTATTCACTTGTGAACTTAGAATCAGTTGAACCGGTGATCCAATTTGTATCACAGTATCCCTCAATCACCGCAGGATATTTACTGTTGTACAAAGCAAAGTCTTGGATATATTCTAAATATCTCAAAACTCGTTTCATTGCTGTGAGCACGTGATTTTTGCCTCATATGAATTACTCCAAAATAATACCCAAAATTAGGTTTTTTCTTTTATTATGTGTTATTCTAGGAATTACTGTGCGATTTTCCTGATTGTTTGCATATCTTTATGAGCATATTTAATTTTATTAATGCATTAAAAAATACAAAAAATATAGCATATGCACTTAGGATTTGATTTTACATTTTTTGGTTAATTTAGTAAAATGTTGTTTTACAAAAATGAAGAATTCACAAAAATAACGTATTTTTGCATTTTAGTGTTTAATGTCAAAATTTTGCGATTTTCTTTTAATTTGGTATTAATTATGTGTGATAATTATTATTTAGAGATAATTAGTATTTTAAGATAATTTGGGTTTTTATAGCTTAATTTAGGATTTTTAAGTTTTAATTTTTGAAAAAGAAATTAGAAAGAAAATTGAAAAGAAAAAGAAAATAAGAGAGAAAATCTGGTTTTGAGCCAACTTGGCCAAAAGGCCCCCAAGCCCAAACAAAACCCGTCCAAACCCACCCCAAACCAGCCCATACCCGTTTTCCCCAACCCGGTCCGTCTCCAGCCTCAATCAAAAGACGTCGTTTCAGGAGTTTCAATCTGGACCGTTGAATCAGCCTGATCGAACGGTCCAAAGCCTTCCTCATTACCCGAACCTGACCCGCCCCTGAACCGGTCCAGCCCCAGTCAAATAAAACGACCCCGTTTTGTTTAAAAGCTTTGATCGGAGCCGTTGGATTTCAATTATCCAACGGCTCATATTAAATCACCCATTTTAATATACCCAAAACCTTACCCCCACCCCTCAGAACCTCTCAACCTCTTCGTCTCTAACAAAACCCTAGAGACGCTGCCACCGTACCCTCACCGCCTTAGGGTGGCGGCGCCGGCTCCGTTCTCCTCCAAAATTACACCCTAGAACCACCACAACCCCCTCTTTCCAAATCCCCGATCTAATTCCCTCGAATCTTGCCAGAACCTCTCGAATCTCAAATCTAAGATCGAGCTCTAAAAGTTTAAAATCGGTTTCCCATGAACCTAATAACATGCATCGATCCAGACCTCTAATCTTCATCATTAGAAGGATTGATTCACTACAAAATCGATGCTGCTCATTTTTTCTTGACAAAGAACAAATGATTGGCATCAGTTTCGGATGAATCAAAGTATCGAGTGTAATTTCAAGTTTAGCCGGTAAGTTCCCTTCATTATTTCTGTTCGTTTAGTGTTTGTTTCATCTCTATCTCTTCTTCTTTTCTACTTTGTGTATCTTAGTTGTCTGACTTTGGATTGAAATTATAATAGTATCTTCCTATTAGGTTAATTTGTTTGTTCATTCATTTCTGTCCATTTTTAGCTTTTATTTTAATTCCTAAAAAAAGGGATTGTGCCCTAATTTTGGTTTATCCGTTCTGTCTAGTTTTAGCCAGATTATGTTTTAGTTGTTTAAGCTCATGAGTTTGTCATTGCATCAGTAGGTTTCCAGTTTTCAATTTATGTTTATATTATTCTAATAGGCAACATATTAGTATCCTCGTGATGTTTTGATTCCTTGTTAAAATGATTATGTTAAATATGTCAAAGGTTGAATCTCAAATAGGCTCTTCATTGTTCTTTTCTTGCTAATGTCAATTCAGATTGTTCATATGAAGGGTTATTGTTGACTCTGTTTCAATGCTAAACCTATTTAGGTTTCAGAAACTGATGCCCTTTGGTTCTGGTTGCCTAGCAATTCTGTAAATGTTTAGAACTTTCAGAGATTCTAATTGAATAATTATGAACTTAAGGGGTAGTCTGGGAATTATTCAATAAAGGAGATTGTTTACCTAACTTAGGAAGCTTCTCAATAGTGGTAGGGTAGAAATTGCATTACTGAATTAATTAAAAGCACTAAGTTAGTGGATAGTTAAGAAATGAAAAGTAGAATTGATAATGGGAATGACACTAATTGAATGCCTATTTAAAGGCTGAAAATCCTAAAACAAGGAGAAGCAGAACATTCTGAGAGACAGAGAGATAGGCATTGCGTTCATATACACAACAGTCTGATACTCTGAAAAAAAAGAAGATAGAGTACACAAATACACACTAAGTTCAAAGACAAGGAGATCCAGAAATATTGAAAGAGTTAAAAGAACATTTTGAAAACTCTAAAGAATAAAACTGTTTCATTGAGTTACTGGTGATTTCTGAAGTTTCCTTAGTGCTGAAACAATTTCTGGATAGCTGATAGTTGAAATAAGTTGAAATCAAGTCAAGTTTAGGTCTTCTGGTTCATTTGCTTGGATTGAAACTGTTTTCATGGGTTGTTATTTCATTTTTTTTTCTGGGTTTGAAACTGGTTGAAAATTGCTGTTGATT